GGAATTGTTAGTTTTGGTCATGCTTTGCTTTTTTTCCACGCTATTTCAAACAGTGCTGTTACAGACAGTGGGCTGCCTTCATGTCACAGGATCAAAAGCAGAGATGACAGGGAGCTGCTACTGACAAGCCAGTAAAATGCAAAATGCAAAGTAAAATTCCAAAGTTAACTAAAAAAAAAAAAACCGTAACAGAAACATTTTGTCATAAAGTATTGTAGGAATGTTTAGATTTTTGTTTTGTTTTTAAGACTTTTTTGACCAGTTTCCTGCTACTTTTAAACCTGCAAAATTGTAAGCATCGCGAGTCTGGAGGCCAGCGCTCTCCATCCACGTAAGCATGAAGCACAGCCTTCTCCAAGGGATCGGAACTGAGCCCGTGACATGTCTGCTCCCACGTCTGCAAGGTGGAAAAACAAGTGAAGGAGGGGGATGCCTGGGATACACGGCTAATGGAAAACATCCGAATGCATGTTGCAAAACTTACTACAAAACGGAGACATGTGCGGTAGAAATGACCTGCTCCAGGTGGGCGAGCACTACCGAACACCAGGCTCTGCACTGTCGAGCTAACGTGCCCGAACGCCAGCCCAGTGTCTCTCACTGTGACTCCCATCAGAATTTGTCCCCTACAATCTCAAGAGCTCTTTAGGAGGTGGAAGGGACATTGAACACAGGACACTGCCCCAGTTGCATGAACCTTCTTTTTTTCTTTTTGTTTTTACAAGGTTCTAGAGCAGGAGGGTGAATAATCAATGGCAAGCAACGGCACATCAGCATACGAATGTGAATACGGAAGAGAGGTTGGTACAGAAGAGCCTTAGAGACAGCAGCCGGCTTAAGAGAGTGACAGCCTGGGCTTGGATAGGTCAGCCGTGGGACCTACCATTCACTCTGCACTTCCCAAGAGCCGGCATTTTGTTTCAGTTGCTAAAGTTATCTTCCAAACCCTCCTCCCAAGCTGGTACAAACATAAGCTAGTGAAACACACAGGAGGGAAGTCTGCTACCGCACACTGAAAACCGGCATCCATATTAAAGGACACGCAAGGGCTCCTTCAAAGTCAGGGCAGCCCAGGATATTCTCTCTACTTGCCTGGACTCATTCCCAGAGTAATCTCTGGAGCTGCTCCAAGGAAGCTTTTAAGTCGCTGGAAACCGCAGGGCTGGCACCCCCAAGTGGTTACGCTGAGCTCCTCCTGCAGCCCGAGCAGCTTCTCTCAAGTCTCATCAGCAGTTCAAGTTCATCCACCCATTGCCAAACTGCACAGCCCCCAGGGCCCAGGGATTTCGGAGCTCTCCCCACAGCGAGGCAGAGCATGGCCCTTTGCTACGGCTGGGGCATCGGCTCCAAATCCCACTGCAGAGGGGCTGCAGCCAGTTCAGACACAGATTTTTTTCAAAGTGATCTCTTCAGATTTCATTTCCAACAGGAAGGAATCCCTAACAAGACCTTTCCCCCAGAGAAAAATCAAGAGTTACAAAACCTTCCTGCAGCCGGCAATGTTTCCTATGTACATAGGGTTAATCCTACAGATTGATGGAGGCAAAGCAAAACTGCCAATGCTCTTTGGTGCAGTCCTGCACTGTTGCAGGCAGCCTGGAGGCTTTCCATCTAGTAAGCTTGGTGTCCTTCCCGTGCAGCATATCCTTCAGGAATGGCTGTCCCCTCCCGCTTTTAAGTTATGGATAGGAAAATGTGCCCAGCAGCATAGGACATACTTGCAACATCTGCTAAGTTGTACAGCTACTCAGAGCCACAGAGTAAATCTTACCACTCCCGAGCAGCAAATGAGACCAAACATTGATCCCGCTTTGCTTATCCCAGTGAGAAGCGAATGTAGAAATGAAGAAGTACTGAAACGCCAGTGGGCTCGATTGCTAACCCCCAGGGATTTCATTCTGCCACATGCCAGAGTCATGCCCCTGATCGGCAAGACACATGAGCCACCACGGACAAAAGGCTCATTCAGAGCTCCGGCGCTGCATCTGCTGCCGCGTTTAAAAGGAGGAGGGAGGTAGTCGCAGTCTGAAGTGCTAGAAATGTTTAAACTGCGTATGAGGGGAATCAAACGAGGAGTGACTCTTGCCCTGTACAACGTAACGGCACTGGCAGCCCAGGGACGTGCCGCAGTTATGCCAACACTTGAGAGCAGAAGACAACTCTGGGATACGAAGGAAGGAGCGCAGAGGCGTGCGCACCAGCCAGATGGCACCTCCAGCAAGGGTCTTGGCAGCTACTTCAGAAGAGACAAAAAGCAGATGTTTCACAAAAGCTCACTTTCCAGGTTTATTAAGTAAAGTTAACTGAATTGTTTTCATTTTGTGGGGATTCCTTTCCGTCTAACCTGGCAGGTTAGCAGAGTTGCACAGAATCACGGTTGGACTGTGATAACCCAAATACAACTTTGGCTCATCTCACCGCTGACACATATGGAATGACTTGGGGGTTATTACATGCTGTGTCTGCTTGAGGCAGGTACATGTACAGATCAGCACAAGTTGCAAATGATAGTTTACATCCTTTCAAAACAGAGCAGGGCATTCAGCAAATGCACTGCAATGAGAAGACATATGAAAAAGAAATTATACAGACTTGCAAATACATAAGAAGTTCAAGAGATGCAAGAAACCTCAAACACAAGAAATGTCAAGGGGGGAAAAAACACTTAATTTCAGACACAATGTGTTCAAATGAAAACCCAGCTGTAATTTAAATTCCCTTCAAAATGGGAAACATACAGTAACGCAATTAAAGAGAAACCAGGTCTCGTCCTGGGAGAGATGTGTCCAAAAACACTGATGCACAAACAGGTTCAGAGTTCTAAGCAAAATGTCCCTGGGCATTGGTGTACTTGACTCTTGGAGCCAGAGCAAAGCAATTCATTACACTTGCTGGACTGCTGGGCCTACTGCTGGGTATTGGTGGTATAACAGCACGTAGGATTCCAGATGTCAGAGAGAAGGCAGCACGCAAACTGCTGGTTACTGGGAGAAATGCCACGGGCCAGATCTCCCAGGGATTGACTAGAGTAAGGACACCTAATTCTGGTAGCCTGGCCTCCACTGCCCACAACATTAGTGTAATGTTCTGCAAGGTTCTTCAGTTCTTAGCTCACTCCTTTCTCAGCCTGAGTTGTTTCTGTCTTGTGCATAAGCACAACTGGCCGTGCAAAATGATCCAAAAAACATAAGGGACAGGACCAAAGAAAACTGGCTGAACCTGGGGCTGGTTTTCAGCTCCTATTTCCAAATATCAGTTAAAGGTTGGAAATTTATCTACAAAAGAAATAATATAAATGAAATAAAAAATGGCACCGTCCACAAAATTAAAAAAAAAAATCTTACAACACAGCCTTGTAAAAATGGCTTTGCAACAAGAGCTCAGTCACAAAATGAAGGGTTCTAGCTCTTCGTACATCTTTTCGAAAGAGGAAACAAAGCTAAAAAGTACTAGTCCACATTCTCTTAATAAGTTAAACTTACTTTCCCTCCCCCTGTCTACAAAAGGGGTAGAAACAAAGGGGAAAAGAGGCTACCAAAAATTTAAAAAAAAACAAAACAAAACAAAACCAAAAAAGACAAAAAAGAAAGGAGAGAGAAGGAGAGCGCGCAAGAGAGAGAGAGAGAGCAGTCTGTGGTCAGAGGCTCAGAGCAGGGCTGAGTTCCTTTTAAGGGTTTAAAAGATGCAAAACAGTTCCTCAAAAGTTCCCTCTCTTCAACAGTTAGTTCAATGCTGTAGCCATAGAAACTCAAGTATATATTGGAGGAGAGATTCTTTCAGGCAGATCCACCGTCATCCGGAGAGCCGCTCAGCGTGTGTTAATCCTCAATGATTATGGGTTCATCATTCATGGGCTGGCGTAGCTGCACTGCCTGGATGGGCCGGAGGATAATAGGCTTGTAAGGGCGTCTGGCAGCTCGCTTGGCTTCGGAGGAGGAAAGCAGCTTGCGGATTTTCCTGCAGAGAGTAAGGAAGAAAGGAACTGATTACAGAGACCGGACACTGTAGGTTTCTTGATTTCTCCAAGCGAAACCAGGGCTGCACACGCAGAGGCTGCTTGCTAGCGGGATGGGCTGACACTGTTGATTTCAGCAATGTCTTTCCTGAGGAACTTTTGTTTTCTAATTTATAAACCCACCAATGAAGAGGAAATTGCATTCTCTGTTCCAGAATCCTTCCCCTGCAGAGCAGAAGGCATTCTGGTCCAGCCTTGTAGGATCAGGGTCTACTGCTGTAAATCTAACACGTGAAAGAGTTATGATAGCCAGTTTCCATACCGCTAATTTATTTTGATGCACGCAGACACATCGGTTGGACATGCTGCAGGCAGCTTTGTGGGAATTTTCAAAGCCAAGTTACAACCAAACTGGCAACATTGGTCATTTCCCTGACTGCTAATCCATCTCTCACCGAGCTCTGACATTCCCCAGTCCCAAGCAGGTGCACACAGCTGCCTCTTCAAAAGAAACCCGTCACAGCAGAAGCCAGCAACATTTGGTCTCCCATGGAGCTACGCCTCAAGGCTGAGCTGCTGCAGGGGAGCTCCACGACAGCCACAGTGAACCAGTGCTGGAGCCTTTCCCCCCCACTGGGAACACTAACAGCATGTCTCCCACACTGTGTGTGCCCAACCCAGAAATGGGTAATATTCATGTCTTGCATTCATTAGGAGTTTCCCTAGATATTACAAGACTAGCAACAAGTCTTATCAGACACAGGAAGCAGTTTTCTATTTAGAGAGAAAGTAAAAGGGAGAGGAGGGAAAGGGGATGCACCAAAGTTTTAAAATTAGCAAAGTAAGGTAGAAAGAGACAATACGGAATGATTACTTGTTTCTTTTTGTCAATACCAAGCTAAGAGCAAAAAAAAGTATCCTTAAAAAAAACCAACCACAAAACAGAAAAAAAGCCAACCAACCAAACAAAAAAACCCCAGCAACAATGACAAATGTGCTATGTAATTAAAACGACGAATTTCCAGAGGATGTTGTGGTGATCAAAGGCATTTAGAGATTAGAGAAGAAAGAGATAAATATTCACAAGACCAGTCCACCAGTACCCACTATACACAGCCTCCAGTTCAGGAACTGAGGCAACAAGGAGGGTGTGATAAGGAAGCACTGCCTACCCGTACAGGTTCCTACCTTAACAATTTTTTGGCTTACTGTGAGAGATACAATACCGCACTAGAGGAAGGGCAGCCACACAGCTTTACAATCCACAACTCAACCATCTACACCCCAAAGATAACTTTTACATTTTTGGTTAGTCAACACTGCTGGGCCCAAGAAACTCTTTTTTTACCGTGTTGTTTTTTTGGGGTTGTTTTTGTTTGGTTGCTTTTTTGAATGGAAGAGAGGAGATACTCTTACTGAGCTGATGTCTATCACTGTGCTATGATTTCTGCATTTCAGATGTCCTGCTTGCTGAAGAAACCGGTCAAAATACTTTTTCCCCCATAAAATTTACCCTTACCACCAGCACTGACAAATGAACAACTTCAGATGAAGATTTTGAATCAGCTCTAGTCAGATTTGGTAATCTCTTCATTTCCTTTTTTTGCCCAGAGAGCAGAACAAGCTTGCTACATAGCGCTTATACACACAGAGACACATCTTTTGTTTGCTCAGCATCCCCATTTCTCCAGCACCTTCTAAAGCTGACAGGCCAGAGGGTGGGTAGAGGAGAGAACAGGGTGGAAAAGTGGTGGTGGGGAGGAAAAAAACCCAAAATCTTGATGTGATGATTTTTCCAAGACTCGCTGAGCTGAAGTTGATCTACTTCTAGCCAGCAGAGCGTCTTACTGTATCCGCGTGTGCCCAATTAGACACGCTGCCATCAGAAACACGTCTCGTAGCCGTTCTAGATTCTGATCATGTCACTTGCTGGCTCTGCTTGCATAAATTATAAATGCCAAGTTCCTTACTGTGAGGCTGGAATTCAAAAACTTATTCCTTTCAACTGACCAACTTTTCAAACTGCTCCCTCAAAGATATCTGGTTTTTTAGCACCGTTCTCAACAGTGCTACACAAAAAAGGGGAGCAGGAGGGGTGTAAAACTTCAGGAAAACGTACTTTCTGTGACTGAAAAGACAGCCTGACCCTCAGCTGGAGGATGATATGCAGATATTGCTGCTAGATTGATCGCTATGGAGCCAACACAAAGCTCAGATTGTTTCAGAGCTCACAAACAAGTCTTACATTCTTGACACTGGAATGCAGCAGATGGTTCAGGGAAAAGTTAGAGGTGAAATGCCTGACAGAAAACCCGTGCCACTTACAATCCTACATCGCTCAGGCTTCCCTGCTTTTCAACAGGCTGCCAAACATCTCCTTTCAGCACTCATCAGTCAGCTAAGCAGCAAGGCTGTCAGACAAAGCAGCCTGTTCTTTTTTTTCTCCCCCCCCTTTTTTTTTTCCCCCCCCCCCCCCCCCTTTTTTTTTTCTATTTTTTTAAAAGGAGAAGATAAGGTCTTACTGAGCTGATGTCTATCACTGTGCTACAACTTCTGTGTTAGAGATGCGCTGGTTGCTGTGGGACTGATCTTTCCTGCCTCGGTCAGTAGTTCTCTCATGAGCAGATGATTCGGTGCCTTTACAGTAAATTGTTCTCACGACCAACATTACACTTGATGAATATTCTCACTGTTCTGTACAGATCAAAGGGCAGGACCTTGTAGTAGTACTAAGACATTACTGCCATGGATCTGCAGTATTTCTTGTGGGTTAGATGATACAGATGTCAAGAAGTGTTTTGTAGATCCAGGATTATGAAATAAGCCTTGAACATCTAAGGACTGAATTAGAGACTGTATACCCTGCATCCACAATGGCACGTGAATTTGCCACAGCTGCAGATCTGTAACAGGATCAAGGTAACTCTTTACCAGAGCCAGATGACAACAGGCATAAGGAAACTGCTTCCCCTGAAAATTAAATACTTCTCTCACTTTAGTTTCAACTACATACAGGATCCCACTGCTTACTTTCACAGTATCTCGCAGGAACAGAAAAGAAGGGAAAGACAAGGTAAAGACATGAGCTGGTGTGAAATGCACAGTTGCATTAAAGGTGTCCATAGGAACAAGTCTGACAAGGAAATTAATTTCATGTTTCTTCAGAGTTCTAACGGGGGGGTTTCCTGCACTGAAAATCTGATGATCCAATAGATCAGTGATTAGTAACTTGAACGTTACCAGTCTCAGCTTGTCTACAAAGCACATCTTTGATACTGGGCCCACAGAATAGTCACTTGACATTTGAAATGCTTCGCAGGCTAAGAAGGAGGTTGGGGATGTCAGGACTCTGACTACGCACTTTATGCTGAACAAATGAATACTCAGAGTAGCACCAAATTTAGTAGTACCAGAAGAGACGAAGTACTCAAAATTCCTGACCTCCTTGGTAACTTGTAAGGGCTCAGATATTCAGTAATTCCCATGTCCATCTCTGCTAGGTACTGGAGGGAAAGGTAAGTGCTCCTCTGTCTGTTGGGGCACTGATACTGAAAGTGCTGATAACTCCAGGCTTCAGACACAGACAAAAGCCAGAGAGCACCCCTGCTTGCAGAGAGGGCTGAAAAGCAGGGCTGCAGCTTTGCTCTGAACCTTCTTTGAGGCTACCCAAGGGAGAAGCATCAAGTTCTTGGAAGGAAACCACACAAGCATATGTGTCTACCTTTCTCACCACACCCAAGAGCAGTCCTCCCATCCTAGGAATAACACAGTACTGGCAACACATACACAAAAGCTTTGCTTTAGGGATCAGGCCACATAGCTTCTACCGCTCTGTCAGCAGCCTGTAAGCAGAGTTTAAAGTGCAACTCATGCAAGGCAAGTTTCTTTTAGTATTTTTATCCTGTGGGCAAGCTAACAAGAAGGACTAGCAGAAGCAGTACCACCAAAGCAAGGAGGGCAACTCAGCCCCTGGAAACCCTCTGTGTTACTTGCAGGTTTCAGTACTCAGACACACGAGGAGACATTCTGAGAGGTAATACAAGAGACTTCAGCATACAAGAGGGCATGCAGAGCTCTCTGCACAGGAGGCTCTGTTCCTCAGCATCACCTGTGCACCAGAAGGCCCCTATCCTGTTACTGAGACACTGCGGTGGGACCTCCAAAGACATTTATGGGTCTGAACCAGGTGAACTTTCCACCTGAGTCTCCCTCCCCTTATGGCCCATCTCTTACAGGAACTGCTCTGGAAGAAGAAGAATCTGCATTCTCTAGAATGCAAGTGTATGGTTAGGCACATTAGACATGATCAGGTGTATCACAGCCTTTATCCACCTCAACACCAGCAGCGGTCTCTTCATTCAGTTTGTAGCAACAGACCTGCTGAAGAGATCCCAGTCTAACCACAAAATCAGCTGCAGCACCCACAATGAACACAAACCAAAAGGCCTCCCCTTAAATCCTCTGAAAGATCACATTTCTTACCTGGTTTCTTCAGTGGCCATGTAAAAAACATCGTCTGGTGCATCAATCCAGTTCATCCTCCTCCTTTTCACTGGAGGCATGGATCCACCACGAATTAATCGGACTTTTGTTGGGTATGATTTCCCATTGAGCAGCAAGTTTCGGCTTGGTCCCTAACGTGATACATAAAAAAGTACAATTATGGACTGCAAGAAACCTGCAGTAGCATGTGATAAGCACTCAAAGGAAAAGAGAATTCAAGTTTTCGTATCAGTTGTTGAGTGTTTATGGTAAATACTGCCCCTCTTGCCCATGACTGAACACAGAATTCACATAAAAGCAATTGTCCACAAGCAGTAGAAGTTAGGCACCTTCAATATACAACAGGACAGCAGTACTCCAGCGACAGGACAAATAATAAATGGAAAGCATTAGCAATAATCTGTTGCTTGTATCTGAAAGACGACATCAGGTTCAAAAGACCGAGCATAAGACTTATATTTCAGCTACTACCATAAATCTAGAGCAACTCTATTGATTTCAGGGAAGGAAATCTAGCTACACAGCAAATCAAATATAAAAAATCAGACTTTACAGTTATGCTGGGGTACCAAACTTACCCATATCCTTTTTGTTCTAGAGAGGTTAATATTTAATGAGGGTAGTATATAATTAAATCTGTTGTTGAAAACAAATCCAGTACTACAAAGCTTAGCAGCTTTCATAATAAAATCCTTTAAGCATTTAACACCACAGATTTCCCATATATAACACATTTGCTTTGTGAATCAGCACAGGTATCATTTTCCAGACCCACAGTAGCCCCCTTCCACTCAACTGGAAAAATATGAGCTGTTATTAAGAGAGGTGCAGACGAAAGAAAGCAAAGTATTAGGCTTCTCAAACGCTGCTGTCCTTGATCATTTGAAGTCCAGTTCTGCTGCCCCTCTTCCTGC